AGGTTTTATATTTACAGTTGAATAACTAAAAAATCATAAATTACTACATTAATAACATAGAATTCCACTATAATTTATCAAGCTTAGTAACTAAGCTGTATTTCAGTCTAAAAAAATATGAAATTTTGAGCAGACTAAAGACACAATCTACTTCCTGGAAATCTTGGTTCAAAAGAAAGAAATGACTGAGAAAGCCACTAGGGAGACATGCTGAGCTTCTGATTGGTTGTTCATGTCATATATAGAAGTAAGAGTATATAAGGGAGCATTTCCAAAAATGGAAAGAGGTGGGTGTAGGTGCCACTGTGTTTGATTTATTACATGACCAATATCTTAGCAAATTGTCAATCTAGCTTGTCAATATTGGTAATTTGAGTGCCTAATTCATACAAAGCTATAGACTTAGTATTTTGCATCACAAACATCTAATGTAAACCAGTGTTGTATTCAACATACCATGTGACACACAAAAACTGAAGTTTGACTGTGTTTTTTTTTTATATTTACTTTTATATTAAGAAATTGAGTAAGGTATACTACTAACATTTGAATTCTAATCTACAGTTTGATACCAAACTTACTGACATAAATTCATGAAATGCTAGTTCAGTAAAATTTTGAATGTAAGTCAACAAACGCGATGACATGGCCTTTGACTCGTGAATTGTTCTGACAATTTTTAGAAATTAAAATAAACACATTTACTCTGAGTTTTATTATGTTTGCTCATCATCCTTGAAGCATCTTGCAGGGGACATTGATAACATCTCCAAACAGCATCTTGCAGGGGACATTATTAACATCTCGAAACAGCTTTTTGCAGGGGACATTGATAACATCTCGAAACAGCATCTTGCAGGGGACATTGATAACATCTTGAAACTGCATCTTGAGGTGGACATTGATAACATTACGAAATAGCATCTTGCGGGGGACATTGATAACATCTCGAAACAGCATCTTGCAGGGGACATTGATAACATCTCGAAACAGCATCTTGTGGGGGACATTGATAACATCTCGAAATAGCATCTTGCGGGGGACATTGATAATATCTTGAAACAGCATCTTGCAGGGGACATTGATATCATCTCCAAAAGTAATCTCAAAGTCAACATGATTTTGTTCTACCTCGTACAGTAATGAATGAACCAAAATAACTCCATAATCAAAGTGATTTTGGTCAAATTCTGGTTGTTTATTTATTTAATGTGAAGTACTGGAAATGCTTCGAAAAGTAAAATTCTACTCAACATTATCTTGTATAACTTGTGTTTTCTCCAGGGTTTTAGGTAAGGAACTTTGTAGCCAACACAATTATACCTTCTAGTATTCTAAGGGATATTGGCAGGGATTCCAAATGATCTTGTTTTAATTTTCACCATTTTCCTCTTATGCAGGAGACATTGGTAATGCTTCCAAAAGTAATCTCATACTCAACATGATTTTGGGTACAACAGTTGGATCATTAGCCGAAGCCATGGCCTTAACAGACAGAGCAGGGCTCTCGCAGAAAGATCTATTAGAAATCTTAGAACTTGGATCTCTCAGCTGTCCAGCAGTAACTGAAAAAGGCCAAGGTGATGATAATTTTGGGTTTTCTTATTTTCAAATGTTATTTTCTATGTCAGTAACATCAAAAAAAATAATCAAAATTTATATATAGCCATAGTTTTATGATGACTGTACAAATGGTGGAAAGTTAGGGCTAGTTACTGGCTGCAAGTTTGTGTTTTTGTTGTTTTCTTTATGGCTGTACAAATGGAAAATTAGAGCTAGCTACTAGCTATAAGGTTGTATTTTTACAATGGCCATGAAAAAAGGTTGAAAGTTAGTCTGTCTATAGTGAGTTTGTTAATGGTATGTGAAAACTTTTGTATTCTGTCTTCAGTGATTTTCATAATGGTATGAAAGCTTGTGTGTTTTGGGTTCTGTCTTTAGTGATTTTCATAATGGTATGAAAGCTTGTGTTTTCTGTCTTTAGTAAGTTTGAGTGTTCTGTCTTTAGTGAGTTTGACAATGGTATGAAAGCTTGTTTGTTTTGTATTTTATCTTTAATGAGTTTGGTAATGGTATGAAAGCTTGTGTATTTTGTGTTCTGTCTTTAGTGAGTTTCATAATGGTATGAAAGCTTGTGTGTTTTGTGTTTGTCTTGTCTTCAGTGAGTTTCATAATGGTATGAAAGCTTGTGTGTTTTGTTTTCTGTCTTTAGTGAGTTTGTTAGTGGTATGAAAGCTTCTGTATTTTGCGTTCTGTCTTCAGTGACTTTAATGGTGCTATGAAAGCTTGTGTGTTTTGTGTTCTGTCTTCAGTTAGTTCGATAATGGTATGAAAGCTTGTGTTTTGTGTTCTGTCTTCAGTGAGTTTGATAATGGTATAAAAGCTTGTGTTTTGTGTTCTGTCTTCAGTGAGTATGGTGTATGACCGATTTTGTGTTTTGTGTTCTGTCTTCAGTAAGTCTCATAATGGTATGAACACTTTTGTGTTTCATATTCTGTCTTGAGTGAATTTAATAAAGGTATGTGAAAGCTTTTATGTCTTGTGTTCTGTATTCAGTGAGTGTGATAATGGTATGAAAGCTTGTATGTTTTGTGTTCTGTCTTCAGTTAGTTTGATAATGGTATAAAACTTGTGTTTTGTGTTCTGTCTTCAGTGAGTTTGATAATGGTATAAAAGCTTGTGTTTTGTGTTCTGTCTTCAGTAAGTCTCATAATGGTATGAATACTTTTGTGTTTCATATTCTGTCTTGAGTGAATTTAATAAAGGTATGTGAAAGCTTTTGTGTTCTGTATTCAGTGAGTGTGATAATGGTATGAAAGCTTGTATGTTTTGTGTTCTGTATTCAGTAAGTTCCATAATGCTATGAAAGCTTGTGTTCTGTCTTCAGTGAGTTTGATAATAGTGTGAAAACTTGTATGTTCTGTCTTCAGTAAGTCTGATAATGGTATGTGAAAGCTTGTGTATTTCATTAAGTTGGATAATGGCTTGTCTTCTGTAAAACTCCCATATGTACAGTTTAAGCCTTAGCACCATTACAGGATATTCCAAAGGCTTAAAGTTTTGTTTCGTTGTTGAATGTTTTATTCAGATTTAGTAATTTTTCCTAGTTATTTTAAAACTTTGTGCTGTCTTCTGTTTACAGCTGTTATTGGTTTATTTAATACTGTAGTAATATATTTTCCTTCTAAAACATACATAAGGTGATTGGCACAGTGATCAAATTTTGGGTAATATGACTATTCTTTGTTGCATTTTCTCTTGTTAAAGTTCTTAAAGATTTTCAAAAATGAACTTAAATGTAGATTTTTTTTATACTTGATTTAAATAGTGTGTTGAACATCTGGACTTCTACTTTGTTCTTGGTATCAAGAGTGCATTTCAACCTCCATGTTGAGTCATTTATAAGGTCTTCATTTTTTGAGAAAAAAAATTGTAAGATTGCAGCATTACTCTGAAAGAGGGATTAACTTTGATGAATATTGGTCATTGGAAAGATTGTTGAATCCTGTTTTGTCCAGTTTCTCTAGAATTTGGTTCCAAACATTGCTGTTTTTTGGACGTCAGCTAGCGTTTGGTTTATATATCTTTATTCTGAGACAGAAGACATTTTCCACAAGCTTTTAATTATCATTGTACAATTTTTTTTTTTTATAAGGAACCTGTTGGTCTACTTTGGCCACCCCATCCAATAAACTAAACTTTAAAAATATAATACTCAAAGCCATCCCTTATCCTTCAAACATTTATCAAGGCTTCACTTAAAAACCCTTAAATTAACTACATCCATCACATCTGAAGATAATCCATTCCAGAGCTCAACCATCCTGAATCTGTTTCAGGTGAATACTAAATTTCAGAGATCTTATCCTGTCCTTCTGTGAAAAATGGGTATTTACAAATTGCCAACTATAGAACCAACTCTTCTTTTTTCTTACAGATGCTTTGAAAGTAAATACTCTTTGTAAAGATCATTAGAACCATTTGATTTGGAAACTTAGAACCAAAGAATGTGTGAAACTGGATTGTGTGGATGCAAGAAGTAGGAAAATTAACCACAATGAAAATGTCTACATAACTAATCTTTCTTGCAGGCAACATTATAAAACTGTGGAATGTGTCCTGTTCCTAGGTTTTAGTCACTCATCAAACACCCCTCTCACTTCCAGTGCTTTCATAGAAATGGCTTTGTAAGATATACCCGTTAATGAAGCTGGGAAAGGATTCCTTGCATGTACTATTTCAAGGAAACATAAGCTCAACACCAAGAGTAAGGGCAGCTGTCAGAACGAGACTCGTCATCTCACCTTCTTGACCAATGCAATCAGACTGTTCTCAAATGTGAAAGAACTACAGTTCATAGCTGAAGATGGGAAATCCCAGAAACTTCAGAAGGACTCCAGTGACAAACTTGAAATGAAAAACCATAAGATCCCTGTTGAAAATTAAGTTGCATGAGTTCAATTTCTAATCAGTTGGTGGATGAAGAAGTATTATCAATGCAGTAAATTCACTTTGCCACTTACAAACATATTAACTTGTCTCAATAAGACCAGCACCTTTCAAGTTACAAGCCCCAAACTTTCATCTCAGAACTTAAACATTTCTATCAAACCAGAAGAAGTTATCAGTTTTGACAGCATGTTTTGTAATATACCAATTTCTGATTCTTTTAATTAGACAAAAATTAGAAAAAGGCTTTGTGTAAACCTTCAAATGAACCTTGTTGTTGATTTCAAATTGGAACTTTTTCTCCCTCCTCCTGAGAAATGCTTGTATAACAAACAAATTGTTAAGCCATAGCTTTCCCATTTCGCCAATCATCAGTAACCTTGTCATGTCTGAATTTGAGCCACAAACGAAACTGAAGCCATACTCCTAGAACCACTGTGTGGATTATACCATCATCTTCTGGCTCCAAGCCACAATACCATTGATGATATTCTCCAACCCAGAATAAAAGTATTCTGTTTACTGTGCCGAGAGAATCATACTGTCAACTGCCAATCCTGGATGTCACGAACATGATCTATATATGGAAGTTTAAAGAAAACTAACCTATACCTTTTAGTACCTATTTTACAGATTCAACCATGCTCACTCAGAAAATTATTAAAATATTTCGAAATGAGAGCAGAGTGTGATGTTCAAAGTTTAAAACAAAAAATTTCTATTAACAAAACCTTTGAGGTTTGTGATTACCTCACACATGTCATAGCCACTACAAATTAAGACCCTGTCATAGACAATCTCATAAGAACTTTCATTTTACTCTTTGTAACTGATTTAAGCTACAAACTTGGGAGAATTTGTATTATATTTTTAAAATCAGATTTTGTTTCAATCTGGCAAAAGTCTTGCAGTTCCAGTGCAATCTATAGTAGAGAAATGGGAATAACAGTCATCAGAAACTGAAAGACCATACTCATGCAACAAGGCTGCTACACCCAAAACACAGGACACTCACATGAATGAGACATGATTTTAGACACTATATAACAATGGAAAATTAAGAAGTTTTCAGAATACACATGTATAAACCAAAAGTCAACTGAAACCTTGGGTTACAAACCAGCAACATCATTCTACAGAAGTTGGACAAAAACAGGATTCAAAAACCTTCTTGATGACTAATTAGAATTAATCACAGTTGAAGTCCTATCTCAAGGTTTTGCTACAGGCTTGAAATATCTCCCTTTTTTTCATAAGTCACAGACCTACTAAAAGACTCTGTAAGGAACCCAAAACATCAGTTTGTAATCAAGAAAACAGCAAGTGTCCACCAAAAAAACTTCATCCACATTTTAACACAGCTTTCAGTGATAACTTTAGTATGATTATGTGTAAGCTCTAGACCGCTTTATTACCAAGTTCTCATCTGGTGCCATATGATTGTGGTTACATCTATTTTATATATATATTTATACTGTTACAAGTTATTCAAGATTTTTCTCTTTAATTTTTGTATAGCTATTGTTGAGGGAAGTTTTGGCACGAATATGCCGTTACAACATATGCAAAAAGATCTACGTTTAGCATTAGCTATTGGAGATCAGTTGGAGCAACCTTTACCTCTGGCTGCCACAGTTAATGAGGTTAGTTTTAAACCCAGTTCTTTAATGTAATTTTTGTTATAATCTCTTACTACTATTCTAGCAAGTGTAGTTATATACTGAAATATTTAATTTTTAAACAACTAATAAATAAATTATTTTTCAAGTGTTGAAATGTTTTTGAGATAAAATAGAAAAATAAGCAACAAAATATATTTGCAAGAATTGTATTATTTGTTCTGGGCCTATTTTACAGGCCCACATAAATCAACTTTAGCTCTGTCTTTGAATGGTGTTATTTGCTCTGAGCCTATTTTACAGACTCAGATAAATATACTTTGGCTGTGTCTTTAACACTCACGACAGCCTCACTCAATTTGGCCTAAAAATTTATTCCGATATAGAACATTACCTCCTCTCACATAAATAGCTATTCTCGTTCAGTGCTGCCATCTGTATGCAAAAAACATTTATGCATAGCACAAGCCTTCTCTCTCCCCTCCATTGGAATTTAACTGATTCCAATGCTTCTCGTGCAAATCATCATGCATCAACCCTCCACCAATAAGAGAGCGACATACTCTCATGACACATGTGACTCCCTCTTCAATCCTACCAAGTTATCACTTCTCTTTTGGCAGTACTTGTGTTCAAAAGTGGGATTTCTTCATTATTATTTTTTTCTTTACATTGAAGAAATATTTTGATTTAACTTAATTTCCTAGTCTTTATTTTTTTTCTCACACTTGCATGTTTTACATCACACACTTTTGTTTGATTTATGTATTTCTAACATAAATTCAGAGGTTCATGTTCCCCAGTTTAGATGTTATATCTCTAGCACTATTTTCACAGGCTGCAGGTTGGGGAGACCCAACATTGGATTTCTCTGCTATTATCCTCTGTCGGCTCATGTTACCCTTCCTCCTACCCTTGTTGTCAATCGGCATTGGTGATTGGATATGACTCGCAAGTTGGTGGGTATCCCGCTATCTCCTACTCATCTGGTTTTCCACATTTCATGGACACATCCCTTCAGGGATGGAGGGCATAGGTTGATCAACTGGTATATTGGGGTTTTGGATCTTTAGCTGAAAGGTCTTTTTCCTATCATCGTCCTGGATCCCCTAGGTGTAGGTCAAGTTTTGGTTCATTTTCTCCATCTGGCCAGAAATTGTTTGTTAATGATCCATTCTGACTTAAGTGGTTGCTTATCTTAATCACCAGGGTGGCACCCATTTTCTGTCCCTCTGTATTCATATTTTGGATCTTCTGTTTGGGCTCACACATTCAATATTCCTATTATTGCTTGTCATGTTCCGGGTGCTTTTGCTCTTGTCATGGATTTGATTCCTGTCCAGATGATATTTATTTGAAGAAGAAGTGTCTCAATCCTTTAATTTTCCAGTGGCTTGACCTGCACATTTGTCTATCCTTCCATTCTCCTTCTTCTCAGAGTGATTTCGTTCATCCTTGACACTCTGTGTTCAGTCCTTCTAAAAGCTCTTTCCTGGCCGTCTCAGCTGTGGTTTCCACGGCTTCTCCAGCTCTATCTTCATCCTTCCTTACCTTTTCTTCTGTCTCCATTCCTTCCTTGCCACCCTCAGTCACCATTGTTTCATCCAGGCCTTCCTGTCCTCCGTCTTCAAGCATGGTTTTCCCCCTGGTCATTGGCAAGATGATCCAGCTTCTCCCAACGGTTAGCCTCTTTTCTGGCTTGTTTCATTTGCACTTCCTACATGGAAGTTTCTCAATGCAAATGGAATTTTTCGAACTTTCGTTTCTGGGTCCAGGGTTTCCCCTGATCAACCCACTATTCTTCGTTCTGCAGATTTCCTCTCTTGACTTTTGGTTTGGGGGTCTTCTATCTTCTTGGTCTCAGATTTTTATTTTTTTCCTTATGTAGCATTTGTTAAATATTATTTGTGGTAAAGGTGAATTAATCTTAAATTTATGCACAAATGATGGCTAATTTTCAAAATATCGTAAAATATTTTTACAAACTCTCCTGTTGCGAATTCAAGAAAGGTTGTTTCTTATATTTGGTAATTCATTGAAAATTAACTTAGAAGTTATTTTTATATCTTCAAAATTTGAAAAGTATTAAGATATGGTGGTTCTACATTACTTGCTTATTTTTCAAATTATTCTAAGTACGGTATAGTTTTAGTAAGAAAAAAATTAGACCATATCTATACATTAATCTGATAAGAGTTCATGTAAATACAAAACTTGTATTTAAACGTTTTTCAATTTTATAATATGAAGGTATCTAACCATACTAATATCATCCTAATCACATGCTGCACTGATAATAACATTTACAAAGGATAAAATATCAATTTTCTTAACCTAATTTTAAAAGATGTACTTCCAGTTGGAATTGTTCCAACATTAACTGAGGGTTTACTTTCTGATTGCATTTTTTAAATTTTTTGCAGGTTTACAAACATGCAAAAAGGTTTGGGTATGGAGAACATGATGTTTCTGCTATTTACCTTCGTGCTCGTTTCTGAAAATACTCCGTTTAATTGTTGACCGAAATCTTTCTCCTTGTTTTGTGCATCTTTACACAGTGTGGAACGGGTTTTATGGTTTTTTTTACTGTTTTTAGTGGCATTCCTACTTGTAAAGAAAATCATGGAGTTTCATCCATTCATCAGAGAAGAAACATTTCATACATTCAATATTGTGCCACATTTGCCACTGTTCTTTACAAGACATTTTATATGCATGATTAAATGTGTATAATTAATACCCAATCTCACTGTCTAATGCCTTTAACTGTTACTTGTAATCATGTTAATTTTTTTTTATATTATAATAACCATTATAATTTTATTATAATTTCTATCTGAAATTGTGTTTGATTCTTGTTTTATTTTTAATATATTAGAACATGTCGGACAAAACTTATCGTTATTTTCCTGCACTGTGCATCAGAAGTCTGGTAAAGTAAATTAACAAGTCTTATCAAAAATCATTAAATATTTATGCTGCTGTGGTATTTCCCTGAACAATTAAACTTTTAAATACTTAGGAGTAAACTTGGTAAATTTTACAAATTGGTTTTTCATCTCGTGAAATCTTATTTTGAGCATTTTTGCTTATATAGGCAAGTGTTGTGCACATTCATAAGTAACGGGAACTTGGAAAAGTAGATTTTTACATAAAAGGTTGTGTGTGTATGTTTATTTGCACGTGATGTTCAGGAAAACATTTTGATATTTCTGCAATACTTACAATGGATATCTGTTTGATTCAGTCTTGAAATAATCTTTATGAGTGTAGCATTTCATGAAATCCCAGTTTACTACAAATCAGACAGTAGTTGCTTTAATGTAGGAAAAACAAACTTTAATTTATAATTTCATTCACTTACGATTTGAATAATGTAGAAGTTTTCATTATTTCTAAAGTAAAAATCAGAACAGCCAAAAAGACAATTTAAAAGGCTATGCATTTATTGTATGTGACATGCATTGTTTGATGTGAAGAGTACATTTGTTTATTTTAATTGAAGTTTTATGTCATATAATTGTGTTTTAAGGATCAATAATTTGTGTCCAGCAGTCTTATAGTCATGATTGGTGAAATGCGAGTTTTATTTTTAATAGTTCCAATATGATATCTAGATGAGTTGAGTGTCAAAAATTTGTTTTATGAAATCACAGATAATACATATCCGTTGAACCACAAATGTCGATTTAATTTTTAAAAAATTTATTATCCTCACACACAGTGTTCAGTGTTTATTTTGAACTTAATAAGATGGTAATTTTTTTAATTATGCACTAATATCTTGTAAAAGGTGAAAGTAATTTTATGTTTAAAACTTTACACCTATGATTATTTATTTTCACCTCAGAATGAAAAATCATTGATTTTCAGGACATTTCACTAGTTTTGTAGCTTATCATGCCTAAGTATATAAAACAGTTATTTTATACCATAAATGTCATTAGTAAATGCTCCAACTGTTTTCAGTTTTTAATCTCTGTAATTAACATATGATAAAATGTACTTGTGTAACCAAAATTTGCTGCATACATGTTTCAAACATATGATTGTTAATAAAGAGAGAATTTTTCTTGAATTATCATGTGGTGTTCCAAAATTCCAGCTGTGTTCTGGTTGTTAAGTTGTTTCCTAAGCTTCATATCCGGAAGTTTTCTACAAGAAATCAAAATAACGTATGGAATATCTTGTACAACAGAAACGGTTGAAATGATTTGTCTAGAAACACAACAAATCAACTATTATAAATAAATTATGTTTATGAGCCTGGACTTCCTGTATGTATTTGAACTTTTAGAAATGCATGAAATTTAAAAATTCTAAAGTAATTTTAGCTTCTTTCCCTGAATCTTTTCTAGAACTGTAATTGTTTATTGGATAAACGGAGAGTGTGAAACAGTTCCTCGGATTATTCAAGAAAAATGAAAAAGGTTTTCATGTATTAAAACACATTCCAGTTAAACTGAAATAAATAAATAAATATTATCACAGTAGCTTGGTTTTCTATATGTATGGAAAGTGTGACAACCAGAACAATAAATATTATCACAGTAGCTTGGTTTTCTATATGTGGAAAGTGTGACAACCAGAACAATAACTATTATCACAGTAGCTTGGTTTTCTGTATGTATGGAAAGTGTGACAACCAGAACAATGAAAGATTATCACGGTAGCTTGGTTTTCTATATGTGGAAAGTGTGACAACCAGAACAATGAAAGATTATCACGGTAGCTTGGTTTTCTATATGTGGAAAGTGTGACAACCAGAACACTAAATATTATCAAAGAAGCTTGGTTTTATGTGGATGAAGAGTGTGACAACCAGAACAATGAAATATTATGAATTTTAGTTAATGTAACTTTAGCCTTTAGTACAACATACGTTTTTTTTTTACCTAATAAAATAAATCTAACCGGTTTAACCATTTAGTTCGACAAGAAAAATCATATAACTTAGATATGAGGAGTGTTGTTACAGCATGATAAGGAATCCAATGGCACAGCGGTATATCTGCGGGCTTACAACGCTAGAAAGCGGGTTTCGATACCTGTGGTGGGCAGATCACAGATAGCCCATTGTGTAGCTTTGTGCTTAACTTCAAACAAACCATAATAATAGTTTTGCTAAACGTACTAGTTATCCATAGACTTCGTTGTTTTGTTTTTGGTCCTAGACATTTTGTCTATTATCTTCGAACACGTTTTTATGCGTGTGTTTTTATTTCGAAAGGAGAACTCAATAAACTGATTAGCTTGTTATGCCACTTTGGGGAAACTCAGTTTTAATTATGGATTTTAGGATCCACTGGACACTGAAAGCCCTTCTTAGTCACTCCTCAGATATTGATGTTGTTACACACAGGATATGTTTAAAGGTCAACAACACTAACAATTTATATTGTATATAATTAGTGAAATAGTTTCTTCAGGATATAGTTGTCAGTCTTTATATCCAAACTGAATGACTTATGTAAGTAGTTCTATTAAATAGTTTCAACAAGTGTTCTAGTAGTTTATATAACATTTCTGGTGCAAGGTAATTTTTCTTACAAGTAAATTTAATGGTTGGAAAAACTGGATTAGTCTTGCTATTTTTTAACTGTTTCAACTATCACTTTTCTGTATGCATATTTTAAAACCAAATTTAAAATGGTTTATAGTTATAATGTGTAAGATACAGAATTTAACTAGAGAGTATGCCTCTTCAAATATTTTCTTTCACTCCTGTATGCATGATTTTCATCTTCCCCCATTTTCGTTAGTATGATTATTCATTTAATCCAAATAAACGTTAGATTTTTTGAACTAGTTTTATTTATGCTTGTGTTGAGTTGGAAAAGAAACGAAAAAAAAATACATTTTTTATTGTTCATAAACCTTTAACAAATCATAAATGTGTGAACTTAAAATATTCAATCAGTAGACACCATTGTGATAAAAAGAAAACAAGTATAGCCGCTATATGACTTGGACAATATCTTGTAGAAGCCGTGGATCGGTGTGGCCCAACATTTAGTATACACGGACAGTAGATAGTCCCTTGCGTGCAGTTCTGAAACTAACCAGAATAAATTATTATCGTTCAAAAAATCTTGTAATGTGTGTGTGTTATAAGACTGGCGGTCAATATTTCGTGGGATAGTGCTGATTAGTTGTCAATTTGCCGTGGGATGGTGTTAATTAGTTGTCAAATTGCCGTGGGATGGTGTTGATTAGTTGTCAAATTATTGTGGGATGGTGTCGATTAGTTGTCAAATTATCGTGGGATGGTGTCGATTAGTTGTCAAATTATCCTGGGATGGTGTTGATTAGTTTTCATATTTTCGTGGGATGGTGTTAATTTGTTGTCAAATTGTCGTGGGATGGTGTTCATCAGTTGTCAAATTATCGTGGGATGGTGTTGATTAGTTTCAAATTATCGTGGGATGGTGTTGATTAGTTGTCAAATTGTCGTGGGATGGTGTTGATTAGTTGTCATACTGTCGTGGGGTGGTGTTAATTAGTTGCCTTGTAGAGACTATCGCTTCCACATTAGGTTAATTCTCATTTAGCTTTGTGCCAAATCCGACAAATAAGCTTTTATGTCTTGAGTGTGACTTAGCATATTTTTGAACAAAGACAGTGACATATGTCGAGCTGTTTCGTATGCACGACCGGTATTGTTCGGAGACCATTTTGCGGGTTTTATGTTGAGTCATTCAACACAGGGTCTAAAACATCATCCCCGAACTAGACTGTTTATTGAAAAGTATTTATCACTAGTTTTAATGCAATAACATTAATGACATTTAAACTCGTAATTGTGTTGTTCATGGCCAAATATATCGGAATAAACTTGTTTTCTTTCTTAAACATCAGGACAATAGCAAAATATTGTTACACACAAAATTTACTAAAGACATTTTAAAACTATTACAAATTCAAATTATTTTCAGCCAGGTTAACGTATGCACTAAGGACATGTTTTGTATTATGACTAGCTGTACCTTCTATAAGAATTTAGTTCTATAAACGATATAAACCGAAGACATTTTTCTAAACTCGTAAGTAAGATAACAACATATAAACCAGAAAATAAGAAAAACACTGTTACGTCTCTGGTCGTTAGTTAATTTCCCGTACAATTTCTTTCCGATGAAACTTTAGCTACAGAAGTCCTTTCTTAAATAAAACTTGTTCTTTCTTAATACAACTTTGAAATTTACTTAATTTCCACGGTCACGCTATAAGTTAAACAAACGCTATAATTCACAACGAACGACTCACGCGCTCGACCCAACTGTCCGTCTCTATCTCTGTCTACAATTCAACTACATTACATTACATTGTTGCCGTCACTTCTTACCGGTCTTATATATATACGAGAATACCGCATAACTAGTAACCTCTCGAGGCTTCAGGAAGGGACATGAACGTTCTAGAAGTTCATGACGTGTTACTAGCGTTACATGACTTCCACTGTCGTAACAACACATAAACCAGAAAAAAATGGTCTAGACTCGTAAATAAGAAAACAAAACATATTTTTACGACAGTGAAAGTCACACGCTGGTAAACGTCATGAGTTTCTAGAAGGATCACGACTTTTCTTGGCAACTCAAGTCTTTTCCAGGCGTCCTCTATTTTGATATATAAGCCCGGCAAATAAAGCGGAGAGGATATAGCAGATTGAAGAGAGATATAGAGACAGATAATTGAATCAAGTGAGCAGTAGTGATCGTAAGTAAAGTGCGTGAATCGTTGTGAATTATAGCGTGTGTTTAAGTTGAACTGACTGTGGAAATTCTGTATATTATAAAGTTGTATCGAGAAATAATAAGCTAGTTTTAGTTAAGAAAGGACTTGTATCGCTGAAGTTTCTCGGAAAGAATTTCTACGGGAAATTAACAAATGAACATTGGCTTCTGCTTCATGTGGGGTTCATCTGCTTCATCAGGAAATGTCCTATCATCGGTAAAAGTCACATAAGTGGTAGTAAATTCATCAAGAGCTTCACCGTTTCTCTTCTCAAAACTGAATAGAGTTTCTTCTTCAACAGTGGCTTTTTCAGGTGACAC